TCACTCTGGGGCCCACCATGATAAGAATTTTTCTACCCTCTTTGTAATGTACTAGGAAAAATAAGGACCCAGTCACGTGGTTCAGTCACTCAACGGCTGCAGGGTCTGACAGAGCCTTCATCTGCTTACATTTTTCCTTGGAGAAGTTATCCCCCAGCCCTCCCCGTTAGCATTTCTTCTGACTATGCCAGAAAGGTTTCTTTCTCCCTTTTCCTTCTTTTTCTTCTTACTTTCTTTTCTTTTAGGAAAACCTCTTTGCTCCAAGTGATTTGGCCAGAGCCAAAAGAAAATCACCCTGGAATACACTGCAGTCAGTGTCCTGTCCTTTGAAGCTTAGCTGGTTTAATGTAGTACTTAGGTCCAAATGCCAAAGATTAACATTTAACCATGTCAGAATCCTCCAGTCCATCCTAAACCTGTTCCTAAAAGATGTTTCTCTTTTTTAATTCTATTTTTAATACAATTGAACAGGATGAGCTGCACTCAGAGCTGGCTGGTTCTCTCAAAGCATTCATTTTGAGGTACTAGATAAGAGAAACACACCACCCCTCTTTTGAAGGTTTTTAAAACAATCAGCCATCTTGTCCTGCCTGCTGGTGACCTGTTATGCATTTATGTAGCAGAATTCAGGGCAGACTGGCTGTTTAGAAACCACTCAAATTTTCTTCAGTCAGAAACACTACAATCTTGGTCGCGAGGAGGAAAAAGCAGACAGACGTCATGTGTGCCTCCTACAGTCTCTGGCTCAGGACCACTCGGGTTCTGAAATAATCTGCTTCCACATGATCTCACAGATTTTTAGGAACACAAAGCAAGCTACACCAAGTTGTTACAAACTAAAAAGTAGAATCGAGAACATCGTGAGTGCCCTTTACTCAACGTTCTGATATTTACCCAGAGAAGCACATCATATTCTATTTACTAAATAATTGGCCAATGTCTGAGCTCCGGCTGACGGTCCCTCTTCTGTGTCCAGTTCTTTTCCTCATCCTACTCTTCATTCAAGAATTTAAAGAGAAGCCCTAAGGATGTAAGAATGAATATCAACAACCGTGGTATATATGCTTAATTTAGTCCTGAAAAAAAGCAGCAGAATATTTTATAGTCCCAGGCATTATCCCCATAGGAGGAGAAAGAGGTTCAAATATGCGAATTCCAAATTATATATTACTCAAAGGATGAATGATTTTTCCCTTAGATAAACAGACCATTGAAGAGGCTGATCTGCCATGCAGACGACTAGTAGTTCAACCTGGGAATGAGGAACTGGTGTGTTAGCCAGAAAACTGAAGCTGGAGATTAGGACCAGGTCAGTAGGGGGCGCCCAACGGGGGCAAATGTTGGGAGATAAAACGGAGTGGGAGCTGTCAGAAAGGAAGGTGCCTGGTGTGGGCGCAGATTTACAGAAATAAAACCCAAGAAACCTTCCCTCCTGGCTCTGCGCGTGGATGAGATGATGAGGAAGGGGTGGGGCATCAAAGTTTTTGGTGACAATACAATTTACCACCCAAACCAGGCACGTTGAAGACTAAAAGGGACATTTAACCACGTTGCATAGGGTAGTGACTAGAATCACGTCTCCTGAAAAGGTACATTCGAGTATTAATCATTTGGAAATAGGGTTGTAATCAAGTTAAAAGGAGGTCACGCTGGGTGACTCTGGGCTCTAAAGCCAGTGGCTGGCATCCTTATAAGAGCCAAGAGACACCACGTGAAGACACCATGTGAACGTGGAGGCAGCGGCTGGGGTGATGTGTCTGTAAGCACCAAGCATCGCTGGCGACCACCAGAAGCTGGGAGAGAGACGTGGAATGGATCATCCCTTAGAGCTTCCAGAAGGACCCAATCCAACAGACACCAAGTTCTGGACTTCTAACCTCCAGAACTGTAAGAAAATAAATTCCTATTGTTTTAAGCCACCTAGTTTGTAGTATTTGGAAACTAATGCACAGGGTCAATAGATGTAAACCAGGATGATTCTATCCAAACTGGGACATGGCCACCCAAGTCCAAAACAGCTTCAATGTTTTAGGTTTGGGTGACCAAGATGGCGACACAATTAGCCACACTATGAAACAAGTCAAGTGGCAGGTTCTGCAGGCAGATGCTGAGTTTGGTTTTGGACACTGGGGACTGAGGCACTAAATAGAGATGCAGGTGGTGCAGGTGGATGCAGGCCCTAAGTTCTATTTAATCATCAAAGTTTCTCTGAGAAGCAACTTCCAAAGGGTCATGAACGATAAAACCAGGAACTGAAGAAGAGGAGGCCAAAACAGAAAGAAGCTTGACCAGGGATTTTATGTTTGACAAAGATGATGGTGGATACTCAAATGCAGATGAAGGAGGCAGGAGGGTGTCAGGGCTGGTTGGTGGTGTGTTGGGAAGCCAGTGGAGGATCAGTGAAAGAAGCTGTGAGGGGGCTTCCCTGGTGGCGCAGTGGTTAAGAATCCGCCTGCCAATGCAGGGGACACGGGTTCGAGCCCTGGTCTGGGAAGATCCCACATGCCGCAGAGCAACTAAGCCCATGCACCACAACTACTAAGCCTGCGCTCTGGAGCCCACAAGCCACAACTACTGAAGCCCGTGCGCCTAGAGTCCATGCTCCGCAGCAAGAGAAGCCACTGCCATGAGAAGCCCACGCACCCACTTGCTGCAACTAGAGAAAGCCCGCATGCAGCAGCAAAGACCCAATGCAGCCAAAAATAAATAAATAAAATTTTTTTAAAAAGAAGCTGTGAAGCTATAAAACTGTTAATTCTCTAAGACTAAGTGAAATGGGAACCACTGCACAGAGAAACACACATGACAATAAATTACCTACTGTTTATGTGAACTCACTGAATTCCACATGAAGGTTTTCTCATTTTGTTTTTGACTCAATTCAGTGATTGAAATTCAATGTTTAATTTAGTTCAAAATACTTGTTAATCATAACTTCTAGGCATTAGGGGGATACACATGAGATATAAGACTGGGGTTTCTATGCCCAGAGCTTGATTTAATTGTGCAGTCAAGACAGGCACTTCAACAAAATCGTCCAGCCTGACAAGATGGTGTGGCTTGCCCAAGAGCAGAGCTGATAACAGAGATTGCATCAGAAAAACCTCGCCCCTGGTTTCCCAGCACAGGTAGTTTAGAGGACAGGGAGGAAAAACAAACAGACTTTGTAGGTCCAATTGAAAAGAGTCATTTTCCACGTGACCTGAGACGTATTAATGAACATGAACGGCTCACACCAGATGAACAATTTTATATCATCAAATTATGTCTATTAAACTACATTTCATGCTTCCTAATTGTCGAATTAGAGAGGTCTGGTAGAATAGCAATAACACACTCAAACTGGTTGAGATTCGTGCTTCAGCACCCATTTTATTAGAGCGATAACTAATGAGGCTTAACTAATGGCTCATTAATTAATACTTCAAACTCTTTGAGATGGAGCAAGCAAGGTGTCCTATGAGTAATCTTAATGTGGTTTGTGGAACATGCACCTCAGGCGGCACCCTGCTAGGGCACTTCTTCCAAATCAATTCAGCATTTCCTGTGCATTTATTCAGTCATGTTTCTGCTTACCTGTGGCCTTTCCCCTTCACTACTTGCCCATTATCAGGGATTTAGTGGAGAATTGCAGAGCAATGAATTTCCCAAAGTGATCTGTGGTCAAGAATGTATCCCTTCCTTTTCTGAGGTGCTGACAGAGTGGGGGGAAAAAACACCAGGGAAGGAGGTGGAGATCAAGGAAAAAAGGATGAAACAAAGACAGAAAAAGAGCTAGAAAATAAGGGCGGGAAAGGGACAGAGCTTCCTGCTCTCTCAGAGTTTACCACTCTCCCCAAATTTCTACATGTTCACCAACACGGAGGCTCTCCAAACCCCCTCCTTTGGGATTTTTGTGGAGGCTTCATTATTACAGAGGTGTGGCTGAGTAAATCACTGGTCTTTGGTGGTTAATTCCTCTCTCCCCTCCGCAGAAAGGGTGGGACTGAAAGTTCCAACCTTCCATTCCTGGTTGGTTTCCCTGGCAACCAGCCCCCCTTCTCAGATGTTTTCCAAAAGTCAACTCATTGACATAAACCCACTTATGGTGGAAACTGGCTTGTTATGAATGACAAACAAGATGCCCATTTCACCTTTAGGGATCTGAAGTGATTTCAGAAACTGAGGACAAGAGATAAAATATTATGACAAAAGCTACTCCCATTGTTCTATTGCTTAGGAAATTCTAAAGGTCTGGGAAGCTGTGGGCCAGGAACCATGAATGAAGACCAAATACATATGAGAAATATATTTCGATCATCTGAATGACCAGATATATATTTCTTCTAAATCACAATATCACAGATGTCCAGTTGTTCCATCATTTGTTGAAAAGAGTTTCTTTACTTTATTGAATCTCACTGAGTCCTTTGTTTAGAATCATTCCGCCATATACGTACCATTGTGCTTCTAGGCTGTCTATTTTGTACCATTTATCTACATGTCAATCATTACTTCACTGTCTTGATTGCTATAGCTTTATAAGTCTTGAAATCAAGTAGTATAAGTCCTCCAATTTTGTTCATTTTGACAAAATTAAGAGATTTTTCATTTTCATAAAATTTTTGAGCTTGTCAACTCCTATAAAAATCGTGTTTGAATTTTTATTAATATTGCATCAAAGCTATAAATTGGTTTAGAGAGAATTACCATTTTTAATAATATTGAGTCTTCCAATTCATAACATGGTATTTCACTTTATTTATTTAGGACTTCTTTAATTTCTCTCAGTAAGATTTGTAGTTTTCAGTATAGAGGTCTTGCACATCTTTTATTAGATTTATTGTAATGTAATTCATATTTTTTGATGCTAATGTAAACAATGTTATTGTTACTGTCATTTTTCCAATTGTTTGTTCCTGGCATAGATATACGTTTGACATTTTTATATTCAACTTGTATCTTGTGACCTTGACCTTGATAAATTAACTTTTTTCTAGAAGTTAATTCCTTTAGATTTTCTATATATACAATATGCTGTCTGCAAATAAAGTTTTACTTCTTTTTTCCAATATTTATACCTTTTATTTCTTTTTCTTGCCTTAATGCATTGGCTTGGACTTCAATTACAATGTTGAATAGAAGGAGGGAAGGTGGCAGATTGCCTTGTGGGCTTTCCTCTGTTGTTCCTCTCCCAGAAGAAGGGAAGAGTCAGCTGGCACAATGCCCTTTCCTACTGTGTGTGGTCTGCCTGCCACCATTTTCTCCAGGTCCATTCCCTCTCCAAAGACAGTCCTCTGTAAGTTCTTATTCTTTGTACTTCAAGTTAAATAACATCTTGCCATAGAGCAAGTCTATGAAGTACTGATGACAAGTCTACATAGCATTCCTCCCTACTCTGATACAACATACCACGTGGGTAAGCTCCACCCATAATTACCACTTTTATTTAGTTAGCTATTAGTTTTCTGTATCTCCTACTGAAATTTAAGCTGCCCACAAGCAAGGATCTTGCTTGTCTGCTTTGCTAATGTACCCTGGGAACTTAGCATAGAGCCTGCTGTCTAAACAGACATCTAGCAGATGAATAAACATTTTTCAAGCCAGTTGTCCTACTCAGAGGAGAAATCATGATGCTCCCTCTGCACCATAAATAGGACGGCATCAAGGGGTGGGAACACACTGCTAAACCTGGTCACGTGGTTGATAATCCTCAAGTATGGAGAGTGTGGATTAAGCCACAGCTTTCCTCTGAAGGTCCACAGATCTCAGATAACAACAATAAAAAGACTGGAGATGGGGTCTGCTCCGAGGTTAAGTCAGCAGGGAGGAGAACTGGTAGGTCACAAGAGGCCTTGAGGGTCAAGACATCAGAAAATTTTGAACAGGGGGCTCACAGAATTAAGTCTGGTCTTGAGAAGGTTGTCTTCAGGAGCCAACTGTAGCATGTGGAGAATGAAGGCAGGATGCCAGTGAGAAACCAGTAATGCGAGTACAAGTGGCAAGTGATGGTGGTGAGCTAAACTAGGGAATGACTGTAGGTGTGGGATCAAAGGGAAATTGTCAACAGAACCTGTGGTCACTACAGTGCAGGGACCAAGAGATCAGAGTAGGGTTAAAGGTAGTGCTTCAGTGTTAACTCTGGAAAAATAAAAATAAGGCCCATCTCTCCTAATCTAACCTGCCCTCTCGACTTAGCAGAGACCCCAGGCACAGCCTGTCAGATAGTCAGGGCTGTCTTTTTCCGAAGGTCCCTAGCTTCCTCATTGTGAGAAGCTCTTTTGAGGTCTAACTGAATCCCATACCCTGTAACATAAAAGGAACAAATAGCTTATTTAAAACTCAAATATTTTTACTAGAGGCTCCTCTGTCTTTGTTTCTATCATTCTTCGGAAAAGAGAAAACCTCAAAAGTTTCTAGCATTTCATTCCGTTCTCCTTGACCACTCTTGGGTTGCCTTGGGGGAAAAGCTCAGGATAAAATCAGATCTGCGTTAGGCACCTGTTCCTCTGCAGTCACAGCCACAGCTCTCTGCTTTGAAAGCAATTTTTGGTTCCCCCCCCTTCCAAGAGCATTTTGATAATAAAAGCAGTCGGATAATAAAGGAAAAGGCCATTACCCTGCACACACACCCACTACCAGCTGCACTGAGAAAGCAAACGTGGATTCTGTCAAGCAGATAGCAAAGGAAACCCCAGCTCCAAGACACCAACACCACAAACGGCGCTGCCTTCAGGCTGTTTTCTGTGGCCTCTCTGGGGGCAGTGGTTTGCTCTCAAACTGTGCAGAAGAGACTTGTATTCAGGTTGGTTTTTCAGAGCTGCCCGTGGAGACGGACATCGCACGAATGAAGCAAGTGGGACTGTCTTTCAGAGGATCAAGGGTGCTGTGCAGCCATCGGAAGCCTGGTGGCTGGTCTGCCATGCTCAAAGAAGAACTCTGAGGGCAAAAGGTTGACTTCAAACTTTCCAGTCTTGTCAGCCTCCCACAGTACCTGGCAACCTCAAGAGTTTTCCAGTGCAAACTAAATGACTTTGCTTCTTTAAAGAGATAGAAAACAGAGGTTCAGAGAGAGAATTTACTTCTCAAAGAAACTAAAATGAATTCCAGGCATGCAGAATAATGCAGTGGAGAACAAGGAACATCCTGCGTCTTTCTCCCAGTTCTGCCATTGACTAGCTGTGTGACCTTGGGAAATCCATATAAACTCTCTGATCTTTTGTTTCCTCATCTGTAAAATGTGGGGACCCGTGTAGATAATCTGTACCATCCCTTTCAGCCACAACACTCTGAAAAGACAAAATTTCTTCTCTGTTACTCCTGCCAAGCTAACATCTAGTCTCCATTTGAATGCTCCCAGTGACGGGGAACTTGCTGCCTATTAAAATGGCTCAGTTCGAGTGGTGGAACTTTCTTCCTTGCATCTCTTCTTTCTGTGCTCTGGCAATGTAAAAGTAAATCTGTTCAGAAGGGGCCATATTTCTAGGGTCAGCATTAATATCCTGGAATTCTAAAAGTACCACATCACTTCAGTAAGAGCAATCCAGCCTTTCTTTACTCGCTGCCAGTCTCTTGGGATTTTCCTAGCTCAAATCTCAAAATATTCATGCAAATTAAGCCAAAAAGGAAGAGAAGGCAAAGCAAAAAGCAAAATACTGTACAGTGGATTTGTTTTTTGCTTTTGTTTTTGTTTTTTTGCTTTTACTATCTGAACAGTGTTTGTTTTTTAAGGACACCATTTCTCACAGAATCAAAAAATGTTAGAGCTGAGAAAACTGCTGCTGGTGAACTTCATCCAATTCTTCCTTTGATCCCGTGACAACACTAAAGGCCAGAGAAGCGATGTGAATTACCCAAGGTCACACAGCTAAGATGAAGCCCATGGTTCTGGATTCCTAGTGCTCAGTCTACAAACCTTCGGGTGTCTTCCAAAGGGTGCACCATGGAACACAGACTCCCCCGGATATTAGAAGGTGTTTTTTGGGGGACAGGGGCTAGAGTAGGATGGGGGGATAGGTTCTGTGATCAAGTACGTGGGAAGTGTTAGTTTAAACTATTTTGTCTTGTCTTACAGCAAGATTTCTCAGAAGCTTATCTATGTCATACTGTTGGGGCCCAGTCAAAAAAGCAGCAACCACATTAGGATTCCAGCAGAGAAGGACGGACCGCAGGACATGGGGAACTCACGACCCCACTGAAAGGGCTAGAGTTGCCAAGATCAGGTGAAGGTACCGCGAGGTCCAAGGGTCAAAGAGGTGGGGAGTTGCAGCAGACACCACTGCCATCTCCAGCCCTGAGACAAACGTTCAGGGGGCTCTCTGGAAAAGACTGTGAAACCTCACATCCCCCAAGCTAGTCCGCGCTCCTGCCGCCCACCTGCCGCCTGTGGAGAAAAGACAGTAGGTCTTCTCTCCCTTCTGTCTTCTCTTTCTCTGATAAGTGTCTCTCTATGGCAGCATCTACTCAGAGCTCTGTCCCTTAGGGAATCTCAATAATGTACTTATCAGGCTTCTAGTCCCTAAATTTTGCAGACATCACAAAAGGGAGTGACATATTTTGTTGTTATTGTTTTTGGAATTACTCTCTTAACCCAGTTTTGAGGCCCTATCAGTTTCCCCTGATTATGTCCACATCCCAACCCTTTTCCCCGCCAGGATCTCACACTTTGGGCCATTATGCACCCACCCCAGTCGCCTGGGGTCTGGTACCAGACAATGAAGGGCAGCCCCTATGCTCTAGAGCCCATGGAATTATTCAAATGAGCCAGTTCACAGAGAGCCTGTGAAACCTAGCAAACCCCAGCCTGCTGCCCCAACATCTCTAGTTTGCTGTCATCCTGTTCCCAGGTGCAACCCGCTGCACAGCCCTGCGTGACAGCCTTCTCTCCTGTGGAGCGCTAAGTGGCAGAGTTTTGCTTTCATCTAGCCAAGCGTCCCTGTATTGTGCCCTGCTATCATGGAATCTTTATGTCTTATAAAATGGGGGTAGGGACTTCCCTGGTTGCGCAGTGGTTGGGACTCTGAGCTCCCAAGGCAGGGGGTCCGGGTTCAATCTCTGGTCAGGGAACTAGATCCCACATGCATGCCGCAACTAAGGAGCCCACATGCCACAACTAAGACCTGGTGCAACCAAATAAATAAATACATTTTTTTAAAAATAAAATAAAAATATAGGGCTTCCCCGGTGGCGCAGTGGTTGAGAGTCCGCCTGCTGATGCAGGGGACGCGGGTTTGTGCCCCGGTCCGGGAAGATCCCACATGCCGCGGAGCGGCTGGGCCCGTGAGCCATGGCCGCTGAGCCTACGCGTCCGGAGCCTGTGCTCCGCAACGGAAGAGGGCACAACAGTGAGAGGCCCGCATACCGCGAAAAAAATAATAATAAAAAAGTAAAATAAAATAAAAAAATAAAATGGGGGCAGGAATGGGTTGGAGTTACCAAAATCAATCTGGCAAAGCTACTAATGGGTATTGAACGTCTCTGTTAGGGACACAGTAGGTAGTGTTTCCTAAACTTTTCTGCCCACGTGTCTTTATTTTTAGGGCAAGACCTACTGATATACTTCAAAAGGTACCAAGGTTCCGTGGAACTCACTGCGGGCGTCGCTGTTGTAAGTTATAATCTCAAGGGCTCGTGCACTTTGAAGGCCCTGTGACCCAAAAGCAAGCAGGAGTGAGGACTCCAGCCTGAGCTCTGCCATCAGTGTATCCAAGATCACGGTCTGAGTCCAGCTGTACCGTGGGTTACACTGCACGTAAAGGCTCTGCCTGGGCGGACCCAGCGAGCTGATTTGCACATTCCTTCCACTTGCAAAGCCAGCCTTGTTTTCTTTTCTCATCCAAATCCTAATCGATCCTCAAGTCCCTGCTTTTCAACAGGAAATTCAATGAGGAGCTCAGCTTTCACTCATCTCTTCCTTCTCTGAAATCTTGACTTACTGTCAGCGCTTGTCATATATCTGCCCGTGACATCGCTTGTATGAATTTCCTGCTCTATCTAGCAGCTCTTAGTGTCATTCTCATAGCTTCTCAAAGGCAGGGATTTGACCTTTTGCT